GATTACACAACAGCAGTGCATAAAGGCTGAGTTTACTTGAATGTAAAGTCACGCTTGGATTCAGGAGGGGCTCTGATTCATGCCGATGGTGAACCATGCTTCTCTGCTCTCTCACCAGTTTAAATGGTGACTGTACCATAAATCAGGAAAGCCTCCACCACAGTAAGGATTCCTTTAAAGCTATGTTTGTCTGCTCCAGGTTAATGAAATCTATCGAGACCACTCACTGGGTGCCAACATCAACGTTGTCCTGGTCAGAATCGCCCTGCTGTCACCAACCAAGGTACCAAACTCTGAGTCCTACTCCTTAACCCACTGGGTCAGAGCCCTTTGTATGAAGGGTTCCAGTTGTTCAGGAAAAACGTGTTTTAAGATGTCTTCAGGGCAGAAATCATAAATAAGTGCTACTTTGTGGGTCTTTTAAATTCAGGCCTGAGGCAGTCTGAGCAGCTGAATCAGTTCAGTGTTCTTCCCTCAGGCTTTGAGAGGTTATCTGTCTGTTAGGAGGTGCATGTGTGGGAATAATAACAAGCACCGTCCTGTTTCATCAGTCCCAGGAGCTGATTTCTGTGGGGAATCCTCAGAAGAGTTTGGAGAACGTATGTGGATGGTCGTATCTCCAGCACAGAGAGCAGAGTCTCGCTGAGCAGCACGACCACACCATCTACCTGACCAGGCAGGAGTTCGGCCCCACCGGCATGCAGGGTAATACCCCACTACCACTGATACTGCTAGAAGTACTTCTACCACAATGTCCGTGTAGGTGCTCAGTTATCCAGGCCACTGAAGTCTGAAGCAGGATACTACAAAAACCGACCACACTGATTGCCAGGTGTAGAATTAACAATGGTACCAGATGGCAAATGACCCTTGACCTCTGACCCTGTCATGTGTGTCTGCAGGTTACGCTCCAGTTACGGGCATATGCCAGCTGCATCGAAGCTGTGTTCTCGTCTTGGAGGACGGATTTTCTTCGGCCTTTGTAGCTGCACACGAAACAGGACATCTGTGAGACACACAAACATTAAGGATAAACATGACGCACAAAGGTGACACACGACCATGACACACAAAGGTGACGCACGAACGTGACGCACAAACGTGACACACGACCATGACGCACAAACGTGAAGCACGAACGTGACGCACGACCATGACACACAAACGTGACGCACGAACGTGACGCACGAACGTGACGCACGAACGTGACGCACGAACGTGACGCACGAACGTGACGCACGAACGTGACGCACGAACGTGACGCACGAACGTGACGCACGAACGTGACGCACGAACGTGACGCACGAACCGTGACACACAAACGTGACGCACGAACGTGACGCACGACCATGACACAAACGTGACGCACGAACGTGACGCACGACCATGACACGCAAACGTGACGCACGAACGTGACGCACGACCATGACACATAAACGTGACGCACGAACGTGACGCACAAACGTGACGCACGAACGTGACGCACGACCATGACACATAAACGTGACGCACGAACGTGACGCACGACCGTGACACACAAACGTGACGCACGAACGTGACGCACGACCATGACACATAAACGTGACGCACGAACGTGACGCACGACCATGACAAACGTGACGCACGAACGTGACGCACGACCATGACACATAAACGTGACGCACGAACGTGACACATAAACGTGACGCACGAACGTGAAGCTCGACCATCAACGTGACGCACGAACGTGACACAAAACGTGACGCACGACGTGACACATAAACGTGACGCACGAACGTGACACATAAACGTGACGCACGAACGTGAAGCTCGACCATGACACATAAACGTGACTCACGAACGTGACACATAAACGTGACGCACGAACGTGACGCACGACCATGACACATAAACGTGACGCACGAACGTGACGCACGACCATGACACGCAAACGTGACGCACGAACGTGACGCACGAACGTGACGCACGAACGTGACGCACGAACGTGACGCACGAACGTGACGCACGAACGTGACGCACGACCATGACACATAAACGTGACGCACGAACGTGACGCACGAACGTGACGCACGACCATGACACATAAACGTGACGCACGAACGTGACGCACGAACGTGACGCACGAACGTGATGCACGACCATGACGCATAAACGTGACGCACGAACGTGACGCACGAACGTGACGCACGACCATGACACACAAACGTGACGCACGAACCTGACGCAAAACGTGACGCGAACGTGACACACGACCATGACACGAACGTGACGCACGAACGTGACGCACGAACGTGACGCACGAACGTGACGCACGAACGTGATGCACAACCATGACGCATAAACGTGACGCATGAACGTGACGCACGAACGTGACGCACGACCATGACACAAAACGTGACGCACAAACGTGACGCACGAACGTGACACACGACCATGACACGAAACGTGACGCACGAACCCATGACGCATAAACGTGACGCACGAACGTGACGCACGAACGTGACGCACGAACGTGACGCACGAACGTGACGCACGAACGTGATGCACGACCATGACACATAAACGTGACGCATGAACGTGACGCACGACCATGACACTAACGTGACGCACGACCATGACGCATAAACGTGACGCATGAACGTGACGCATAAACGTGATGCACGAACGTGACGCACGAACGTGACGCACGAACGTGATGCACGACCATGACACATAAACGTGACGCACGAACGTGACGCACGAACGTGACGCACGACCATGACACACAAACGTGACGCACGACCATGACGCATAAACGTGACGCACGAACGTGACGCACGACCATGACACGCAAACGTGACGCACGAACGTGACGCACGAACGTGACGCACGAACGTGACGCACGAACGTGCACGACCATGACACATAAACGTGATGCACGAACGTGACGCACGAACGTGACGCACGACCATGACACACAAACGTGACACACGAACGTGACGCACGAACGTGACGCACGACCATGACACGCAAACGTGACGCACGACATGACGAAACGTGACGCACGAACGTGACGCATAAACGTGACGCACGAACCGTGACGCACGAACGTGACGCACGAACGTGACGCACGAACGTGACGCACGACCATGAACATAAACGTGACGCACGAACGTGACGCACGAACGTGACGCACGAACGTGACGCACGAACGTGACGCACGAACGTGACGCACGAACGTGACGCACGAACGTGACGCACGAACGTGACGCACGACCATACATAAACGTGACGCACGAACGTGACGCACGAACGTGACGCACGAACGTGACGCACGAACGTGACGCACGAACGTGACGCACGAACGTGACGCACGAACGTGACGCACGAACGTGACGCACGAACGTGACGCACGAACGTGACGCACGAACGTGACGCACGAACGTGACGCACGAACGTGACGCACGAACGTGACGCACGAACGTGACACATGACATGCACGAACATGCACAACGTGACGCACGAATGGCAAACATGCACGAACGTGACGCACGAACATGCACGAACGTGAAGCACGAACGTGACACACGAACATGGACGAACGTGACGCACGAACGTGACACACGAACATGGACGAACGTGACGCACAAACATGACGCACGGACATGACACAAACATGACACACGAACGTGACACATGTTCTCATTTCTGGAAACCAGAGACAGTTTCCGTGTTCACTGTGTTGTGTTTTCAGAAACACACGCAGTGCTCAGGCGTCTGTGTGGAGAGACGCCTTTGTGCAACATTCAGTAGTTACTGACTGCAGTGAGCGTCCTGCTGTTTGTCTTCAGTCTCTGTCTCTCTCCGTCCATGCAGATTGGGTATGCAACACGACGGCGAGGCGAATGACTGCGGTGACGACGTGCCTTTGGGCAGCATCATGTCTCCGCAGGTTCAGGCCACCTTCCACCGTTACCACTGGTCGAGGTGCAGCTGGAGGGAGCTGCACAAGTACCTGCAGTGAGTACTGTGAATAATACTACAACATCTACTAAGTGTTGCATGTACAAAGCAGAAATACTAAAGTCTTAACCTGATGCACTGAGCTCGGTTTGTGTGCCTGCAGCACGTACGACTGTCTGCGTGACGACCCGTTCAACCACAACTGGCCGGCTCAGCCTCAGCTGCCGGGCTTCCAGTACTCCATGGACCAACAGTGCCGCTTCGACTTTGGACCAGGATACAGTCTCTGTACCGCAGTACGTCCATCTGTCTGTACTAAATATTTGCATTAACTTTATAAAATTATGTGAAAACATTTCAGAGAAAAGAGAGAAACAATATAAAACTCACATAAACACCAGGTACAGGAAAATACTTAATCTTTCCAATAACTTTCATTTAGGTTTTTAACTTGATTGAACAGTGTGACAGTCAGGTCCAGCACTAAAAACGTCTCCCTGATATTGTGCAGGTCTCTTTAAATCAGGTCTGAGCCGTGGCTGTGGGGGTTTTGGGGGATTTGGGTCGTGAGGAACGGACTTGTTCTGATACAGTGCTCAATCCGGCTGGGATCTGCACTCTTTCACGTTTTCCACATGTTGTGGGACATGTTCTACCTCGGTCCCATCTGAGAACCAGCCCACGCTTCAGCAGGTTTCATAAGCGACTGTTTTTATTTTTTACCATGAGCATCAGCGTGGTGGAAGGCGGGGTTTGTACTGGAGCTGATGCTGGGTCCCACTGTTCTGCTGGCCGAGGCTGCTGCCATCAGCAGTTACTGTTGGGTTTGCAGCAGTGTTTAGCTGGGTGGTACTTACAGATGAAAGCCAGGACCCAAAGTTTCCAGCTGAACATTAGACCTCAGGAGATGACTGATGGCTGTTGTTGCACTGACACGATGTCTCCTTATCAGAAAGTTGTTTTTTAAGCAGAAAAAATAAAGTTGTCAGTGTAAGTGCAGAGAAAACAGTTTAACAGTCGTTAATGAAAGAGTTTGCTCCCCACGAGCCAAAAGAGAAACTGAAGCCGGCTTTGATGAAGTGATGTAAACATTTGTGTTCTGTGAGGAAAACAAACTGGAGCAGCCAGAGGAAACAGGGGCTGGAGGCTGGTGGAAAATCTGTTTTAAATCCTGAGAGGAAATGTGATCCAGCAGGAAAACAATCAGAGCTGAACTGAAGGAAGCTGCTTCACTGCAGCGTCCTGATGGAAACTTCGAGTCTTCAGCTCAGCTGATCCGTCTGACGGCTTCTTTTAAACACTCTCCAGAGCGGTTTCCACGGTAACGTCACCTCCTAGCTAACATCCTCAGCAGATGTTGCTGCTGGCCTCAGCTCACATCTGGACATCTCATAGAAAACTTTACAGTCCTGCTTCATTGAAGGCTTCCCCGAGCTGATGTTTACCTGCTGGTTGTTTCTTCACGCCGCCGTGTTCGCCACGTTTCCTGTTCTGAGAAATCTTAGCAGGGTGCCAACACGAGGTTTTATCTTTCCCTCGTCATCACGCGCTGCCTGAGAATGTGTCAGTTTCCTCTCTTTATCACGGTAATAACCTCCACACATGAGATGTCTGGTTCTGTGGTGCTTGTGGGGCTTTGGGTGCAGGCGATAAACAGGAAGTACCCCAGACAAACCGCCATTGTCTGACCACAAGTTTACTTTATTCACTTTTAAATTCAAAATCAAATTCAAATTTTATTTGTCACGTACACAGTCATACACAGTACGATATGCAGTGAAATGCTTATCGTGCTTTCATCTTTTTTTAAACTTTCTGCTTTCATAAACAGTGTCTGTTGATGAGAACAGGAAGTCTCTGAGATACTGGCGCTCATCCTCAGAGTAGCTGATAGCCAATGGATTCC